GGGACAAGAGAAAAGATGTGTGTGGGGTGGGGAGTGGGAGGAGGGCTGTCACAGTATTTAGCTGAGGTTAAGAGCCCAAGCTTGATGGTCACGTAGTGTTATGATTCCATTTATATGAAATTCCCAGAATAGGCAAATGCACAGAAACAGGAAAGTAGACTCATGGTTGCCAGGGGCTGGGAGAGGAAAGAGAGAATGCACAGGGGAAGCAGGGGAGGGAACTGTTTCATGGTGTGGGATTTCTTTCTGGGGTGATGGAGATGCTATTGAATTAGATAGTTGTGATGACCCTACAACATCATCAATACGCTAGAAAACACCAAATCGTACACTTTTATTTACTTATTTATTTTTTAGTAAGCTCGACGCCCAACATGGGGCTTGAACTCATGACCCCAAGATCGAGAGTTACACGCTCCACTGGCTGAGCCAGCCAGGCGCCCTGAATCGTGTACTCTTAAATGGTAAGTTTTATGTCACATGGATTTTTTCTCAACTGAAAAAGAAGAGTACAAACTTGAGAATCCATTCTGTCTGGATTTGCGTCTCCACTGCACCACTAGCTGTATGTGACCCTGGCCAAGCAACCTCTCGGTGCCTCCGTTTCTTTATCTGGCAAATGGGGTTGTAATAACAGTACCTATCTCAGAAGGTTGTTGTCAGCATATAAAGGACTTGGGACAGTACCTGGCACATAGAAAGCACTCCCCATTAGCTATAATAATAACATGGTAGAGCTTCAAGGGGCTTCAACCCTAGGCGCCTCCCTCCCCAGGGTCCAGGTGTTTGGACTGGATGGGTCAGGGGAGGGATTATGAACTCATTCTCAAACCTTCTCTCCCAAGATCCTCCAAACGAGTCGTCTGAGAGCCCCCTTCCCCAGACAAGCCGGGGGTCCAAGAACCACTCCTCGGGAGGCCCCCCAGGGTAGAAGCCAGGGGCGCTTCTCGCTTCCAGACCCACAGCCTGAGGACGGAGGTCGCCGCGGCCGCGGGGGAGGTGCGGAGCTGCAGCGCGCCGCCTAGTGGCCCCTGTGAGCACACGGGTCCCGGCCGCAGAGGGAGGTGCCAACCCAGAGCGGCCAGCCCCGCCGCCGGCAGGGAGCCCAGGGTATTGTTACTAAAGAAGTAGCCTGTATTCAACCAGATAAGGGGCTTTCTGTATATTCTTTTCAATTCTAGGAGGTAGTTGGTGTTTCCATTTTACAATTGAGGAAACCGATGCTGGGAAAGGCTCAGCAGCCATCCCACCTTCTCCCAGCAGGTTAAGAGCTGTCCCTGGTCCATCTCCGAATTCCAGAACTCTTATCTCCCACGTGCTCTTCTGGTTTGGGAGAAATGAGGATAGCCCATGGAAGCATCTGCAGCCCCCACTAAGGGTTAGAACTGGCTCTGGGACTGTTTCAAAGCAGCTGTGTTTCAGGAAGGCAGCCCCACCTCCTTGCCCCAGACCCCAAGCCCCCAGGAAATGGAGCGGGAGGCGAGAGGCTCCTTCTAGGGCTGGTTGACATGGCTAGGGGCCCTTTGCTCATTAACCCCTCTTTTTCCAGCCTCGTTGATGTTTCCGCTCAACCAATATTGATCGTAGGCCTACTGTGTGCAGGATGAGGTCTTCCAAGCTGGATATATAATGATAATCCGGAAAGGAGGGGCCCTGACTCTAAGCAGCTCACCACCTCCCCCTCCTTCTTAACTCACAGCAGGACACCTTTGCTGTGAGTCTGATGGCACTGGGTTTGGGAACACCTTGGTAATTCTTAATCCAGTTACTCCAATGAGTCATCCCGGGGCCTGGGCCTTGCCTGCTCTTCACCCATCCTAGGAAAAGGTGTGGGCTCAGGGTATTATGACTCCCTCTGAAGTCCTTTCCCTGGCCCTGGCTGAGGACCAGCACTCACACTGTTACAGCATGGGAGAGGGGCAGGGGAAATTCAGAGGGATCCCCAGTGTACTAAGTTCCCCACCCTGATGCTGGAGTCCTGGAGGGAAAACAGGGCCCGGGACCCTCCCCCCAGTCTCCATAGGCATATTTTAAGAGTTGAAAGAGTTTTTAGGCTGGGGAGGAAAGTGGGGCAGACACCTGCAGGAGAGGGGGAAATAAATAACCACTCTTCTGTTGCTTGCCCTCCCATCCCCCCTTCCCTGCTGCCAGGAATTAAACAAAGTCATAAAACCTGACATTGGACTAGAAGGGCCTACCTGGTGCAACTACTGGCTGAACAGCAAGTCCAGAGGACTGTAGTTTTTGGAAAAATCTGCAATTCCCACTGGCCTCTGATGAAGAGAGAGAGAGAGAGAAAGGGAGGGCACCAGCACCAGCCCTGTGGTCCCCGCATGCATGCCATGTTTCTGCTGAGGTCCCTGCTGAGTTATTTAGCATAGTGTCCTTGACCATGTGTCTGAATCCAGGGGATGACAGTCAGCAGTGGGTCTTGGTACCTGTGTTCCTGTATGTGTTTCCTCCAGGAAGTTAAGTATCTAAGTATCAATTTGTCTTTAGTGTCATCTTCTTGAGAGTATATTTGTGCTTTGGGAGGTGTATGTCTGTGTATGTGTTTGTGTCTGTGACACAGGGTACGTGTGTGCTTTTTGGGGGGTCCCTTGTCTTAGGTATATGGTTTTCTGTGCAGTTGGATGCCTACCTGTAAGTGTTTCTAGGAGGGTCCTTTTGCACCTGTGGGTCTTTGCTGCACATTTACCTATGCATACTTTTGTAGGTGTCTCTCGGCGAGGAGTGCTTGTAACGGTGTCCAGGGGTCTGTGTATGTATGTACGCTTGTAGTTGTGTGGATGCGTGCAGTTGGCTTGGTGTGATGAGCTATTGACTCTCATCCACCGCCCTTGCCGGCTGTCCTGGGCCAAGTCAAAAATAACCCAACTACCTTTGCCCACAGGGACCTTTCTCAGTTGGCCAAAGTTCTTCCCAGGGAGTCCTGCTCCACCCAGATCCATCCTCCTGATCCTGAATACCCAGCCAGAGAGGGCAGGGGAGGGGGCTGACTACAAGCACCCTGCCCCAGATGCTCCAGACCCCAACCTGTGCGGGACTGTGTGGGGAGGAGGATATTGGGCAATACTTACTGCTTCTCTGCTCCTACCAGGTCCCCTTCCAGCCTGCAGGGTCAGTCCCCAAGTCCTTTCTCCTCCCATCTAGGAAGCATCCCTGGGGACACTTGGCCCTCTTCCAGCCCATCCCCTACTGGCTCCTGGGCCTGACTGGACCAACCTCTGAATTCTTTCACCCCTTCCTGAAGCAGCGCACTGCACTCGTATTTGAGGAGCGATTCTAGATCTCAGCTCCAGAAAAATCCCAAGTAGAGAACAGATCAGAGCTAAGGGGGAGAGGCATTCCTGCTGGCTGCCCAGTGCAGCCCCAGAGGAGGGGTAGGGTGGATGCTCCCCAGCTCAGGGAGTTTCTTTCCAATCCCATCTCCCCTGCCCCCTTCACAAAGCCGTGCGATCTTGAGCAAATGACTTTACATCTCTGTGCCTCCATTCTATCATCTATAAAATGGGGATACAATTGGTATAACTCAGAGTTGTTGTGAGGACTAACTCAGGTAACGCATACAAAGTGCTTAACCCCTTTCCTGGGGCACAGGTCTTTGCCAGTGTAGCTGGCTCACCCCTCCTGACATCTCTGTGTTTCAATCTCAAGACACTACCATCCCTCAAACTCCACCTAGTTCCATATGTCTTCTAGCCCACCCTTGGGTGGCCAGGACTTTCCCCCACAAATCAGACTGGCAGGGAGGCGAGATCTTGGAAAGAGAGATTACTGACGTTTATGCAGTTTCCATACATACTTTTTTCATTCAACTCTACACCCCCTTATGAGATAATTATAATTTTTCTCTATTTTAGATGATGATGAAGGGAGTGTCAGAATGGTTAAGTAACTTGCTCAAGGTCACACAGAAGGTGAGGAGCAGAGCCCAAAGGCTGTTCCTCTCCCCTCTGCCCCACTGTCCCTTGGAGGGCAGGTTTTTAACATTAGCACCTAAAGTGCTACAGGAGGTTTAGAGGGGTCTGGTAAACAGTTCTGCCTAAGGTTGCAGAGCCATCCAGGATGATCCACATCTGTACCCACCTTCACATAGCTGTAAGCCCCAGCCTAACCAGGACTTGAGTATTTGAGATTTTCCCATTTAGGGAGTCTTTTTTGGAAACATCTCCACAGGCTGAAGGCATAGGGATGTAATACAGACCAAGGGAGCCAAAAGTGAGAGTCGTCAACTTAAGCAGATGATAAAGCCAACAGCGCCAAGCCAAAGGAGAGCTTAGATACATTTCCTTAGTTTTTGGAAAAGAAAATTGGGCAGACTCCGTTTCCAGATGCTTTCCAGTGGCCGGGTTTTCCAACTCGCCAGGCCCAGCATCTCGCGAGGACCCCCACCACC